GGGAGTGGGCGGGTGCCCCAGCCGGTTGTTGAGCGGGTGAAACGGGGATTTCGCCGCGTTCGGGGCCTTCCGGGGGGAGCGGGTTGGAGGAGCCTTCGAGCCCCCGCCGGCTCCGTGCGCTGCGGGCCCGGGGGCGCCGTCCGGGCCGGGAACGGAGCCCGGGGAGGCTCCGCGGAGCTGCCGCGAGCTCCTCCGAACGCACCGCGCCCTCCCGCGCCGTGACTCACTGCGGCTCCGGCTGCTGTCTGCGCTCACAGCAGGTACATAAAACACATCGAAAACATGAAATGTGGCGGCCAGCGATGGTTGCGACAGGGCGTTTATTTCCCTCTGAGAGAGGGTGTGACTTCCAAACCTGTCTTCTTCCTTTCTTTTCATTCCCTGTAGTGAGTGTCTGGATGCAAAAATCAATAGTCTTTGGCTATGGGAGTGTGAGATCTGTTGTTTGGACTTCTGCTCCCACAGCTCCAAAGCCTGAGTGGAATTTCTCATAACCTGAACTCTGCTGCGATAAGCGTCTCGAACTGCTTCCTGCGTAAGGGGGAAAAATAGGAATTAAACCTTGAGAACTGCAAATACAGGGGGCTGGAAGCAGAAGTTACTACTTTCATAATGACCTTTGACTAAACACAGCTGGGAGGCCGTTTTATTGCCAGGAGTGCTGGCTGTGAAGCCTCTTGCACAGTGGAGCTTCCCAGCTGCGGTTGTCTGTGCACGGCGGTGCCGCGTGCGGCTGTACCGGGTCAACCCGTGGAGCTTCCCGGCTGCGGTTGTCCGTGCGCGGTGGTGCCGCGTGCGGCTGTACCAGGTCAACCCAAGGAGCTTCCTTGGCCCCGCTGCCCACGCGTGCAGAGCGGCAAAGCCCTCTGCCTCTGTTCAGGTACAGACAAGCACAAGTGAAACCGCTTTTAAAATTAAACCGACTTGTTTGTTTTGGTAACTTCAACGTGAATAGTTCACATTCGACCTAAACTTTGTTTCTATCCTGTTTTAGTTAGCGTGAAATACAAATGCATCTTGATTGACGCTGTCTTTGCTTAGAAAGGGTTTTCAGTAGTTCCCTTAACAGTGTTCACTTAATGGTATGGATTCTCTGCCCAACGACATAAAATCTTTTCTCTTTTTTTTAATCAAATGGAAGTGAGAAGACTGTGAAAAAAGAGAATCCTCCAGTGCCTGTTGCCTTTTTTGTTGCCCTTTTTTTCCCTCCATGTAAGTTGCATCTTCGTGCTTGTAAAATGTTTTAAATTAACTAAATTGCTCCTGTGGTAGTTTATTTGCTGTAGTCTTCTTGTTAACAAAGTGTATTTCTTAGTCTTTTGTTCCTAACCAAAATATTTGCACCTTTCCAAGTAAAGGGAAAAACCTTATGTAATTTGAAGTCAGTTTCATCTCTGCAAATCTAATTTAATTATAATGAAGCCCAAGAAAGTTAGTTTATTTCAATGGTTTGAGGGTAGCAGGGAAAGAAACAAAACTCGGGGGATTGTGTTGGGTCTTGCCAGATATGGTCATGTGTAGGAACTACGAAAATAGCAGTTTGGTGAAGCCGCGCGCTCGGCGGAGCGCAGCGCGTTCATGTGATGTGCGGCCGGGCGTCGCTCCCCTCCTCCCCCGTGGTGTGTTTTTATTTCGTTTTTGGCTAGTCCATCCGTGCTGCTCTTGCCCCCGACTAGGCTGGTGTGTGCAGGGGCCGCAGCGTTTCTGGTGTGCGAAGCGAGTGATTTGCCTGAGATGTTCACTCAGGTGCAAACGGTGCTTGAACGCTAATTTTTCGAGTTCCGAAGCATGCAGTATAGCGAAAACGTGAATTTTCTGAAGTCAGAAGTAACCTCCTGCGTTTCTCCTGCTGTAGTCGAGGAGAGCAGCAGGACATCTCAGCGCTGCAGTATTGAGGCAAGAAATCAAGTGGGAAGAAAACAGGGCTGCTTCAGATCCGTGGGAGCTGGCTTGAAAACCCCTCCGTGTGGTTTGTTGGTGAACACCAACACATACGTTCATTCCAGAAGCTTCCTTGCAGTGCGTATGGCAGGCGAGCGCTGCGACTGTCCGCGGGGTGTCCTGAGCAGGGGTGTGCTCCGAGTCCGGCGTCGGGGAGGAACAGCTCCAGAGCATGGAATGTGAGGGAAGAAGGACGGGCCAGAGGAATGGCGCACGCAGGAAGCGCGAGCCGGAGAGAACAGGGCACGGAATTATGAAATAGGCAGAAGAGATTAATTAAAGAGGGGAAGAACCGAGTGGAGCGAGATTCCCTCATAATTAGACATGGTGTTGAGCAGTCTGTGGCAACCACCCTGCGGAGGTGGTTGGACTTCCCAAACGAGAGGCGCTCAGCTTCAGCCGAGGACTTCTTTTTTCTATTTGACAGATTTCCTGTAAATGGTGCAGCTGTGCAAACAAGCAGCTCTACCGAGGGGGACATCTCAAACGCTGTTAACCCACAGACTAAAGTATCAGTTACTTGCCCATAAAAACTAAAGAAAAAGGGCAAAATAATTTATCTAAACTTTAATTGTAGAGTGGTAGTTCAGAGCACTAGTCCTCATCTCTGATGTCAGGCAGCAGTTGTGTCTTTGCTCAAAGCCTGGGGCTGTTAAACACGGTATCTGTCTGTGCATAACGCTTAGGCTGCTGGAGCTGATAGAGAAAATCCTCATGGAAGTTTCCGTACAGCACTTTTTATTTCTGTCTTAGTCGTTTTGCTGCTTTTCTGCTAGGTGGTTGTTGAGCTCAAGAGTGAAGCAGGCCAGATGAAATACGATGGAGGTAGTTTCTGTCCTCATCCCTTCCTGCTCCCTCCTGCCCCTGATTCTGAGGCTGAACCTGGCACTGTCAGGCTGTTCCTTCTTGCTGGAGCTGGAGCTTTGGCCAGTGCTCGAACTCCAGTTGATGTGAGCTGGCTGCTCCGTGTGCGCTGTGTATCGCCGCGGTCACGGCTTCTCCGATTCAGGAGCTCAGCTCATGGCAAAGCAGCGATTCCCGCAGAGCCCTCCGTTCCCTTGCAGCCCTCCACCTTGCTGCTTGGAGCTCGCTGCTTTCTGCATGCGAGAAGCCTCGTGCATCCTCTCCAGGTGGCCTGTGGTTCTCTGCAGGGTGTGCATTGGGGTTGCTTTCACAGGAATGTAAATATTCCTTCCTCAGGAACGGAATTCCCTTGGTAGCACCAAGGGTCTGTCTTGCCCATGGAGATCAGCTCTTCTGTTCCTCACTTAAATTCCAAGTCTCTTGTCTGGGTGGAATACTCTGAAACGAAAAACAGCAAATCCAGTTTGCTGTGACCTGCCTCTCACTAATTTGAAGAGCTCCCTCCGTATCGTGTGTGCCTTTGCTTGGGACACTTAATAATGGGACACTACCTCTAACGTGTCAGCTGTCTTAGATCCAGAAAAGCAAAGGGTTGTCCTGCATGCTGTGAACAACCCAATTCTCCATGTATCTAATAACTATTTTCATTAGTTTTTATATCCTTTGTATATTACAAAGGAAACAGATTTGATTAGAAGCTCGGAAAGCATTCTGGCTTTGTAGCTGCAGTCACCTCTGGCGAGAATTCATGTTCTGAAGTACTGCTATTAAGGGCTTCCCAATGATACACTAACAAGCATTTGAACTACATAGACAGATAATTCATATGAGAAATTAGTGTCATTAGTCATATAAGGACTAGAGAAATTAGGCCACAGAGGTGTGTTTGTGGCGTGCTGTTTGATTACAGAAAGAAACAGGTTTGTAATTAGGGACACTTGTTAGACTGCCCAGCGATCCTGCACCTACGTTTGGCTTTGGTGCCTCTGGGGACCCTGCTGCTGTTCCCACCGTCCCCTTCCATCTCTCGGGCACACGTAACAGGACACCACACAGATTGAGGGTGACCTTGTTCTGGCCACCTGCTCTGGAAAGTCGAGGTCCAGGGAAGTGGTCTGGGATCAGGATGACGAGCGTGTGTTCCTGCTGCCTTCAGCAGAGGTGGTACCGCCCGTCCTGAAGCTGGTTTAGTAAGTTAAAACATAGACCAGCAGATCTGACTGACTAGAAATTTGAAATAGGCCACAGATCACTTAAAAATGTTGGTTTTTATGCAATAAGCTAATCTGCTATTGGTTCTTTACTTATTTTCCACTGTTTGAGTACAATTTCTTGTATAAAAATAGTTTTTTTTTTTTTCATGCCCTATACGCGTGACACCACTGTGACTCAACAGGATATTCAAAGGTATCTTTTAATAGCCTGCACCTCACATAAAAATTATTATGCTAGACTATATTTAGTTGTTCTTAAAGCCACTTGACAATCTTGAAGCCTAAGCTGGAGCCAGGGTTGTGCTGTAGCACAATTATCACAC